GAGTCCTGGGTTCAGTTCCCGCTAAGGGCACGTACCTCAGTTGCAGTTTGTCTCCAGCCCCTGTTGGGGTCGTGTGGGTGGCAACCAGTCCATGTGTCTCTCTCACATTGATGTTTTTCTCTCTCTCTTCGACCCTTTCTCCCTCCCACCCTATCTGAAGATGAATGTAAGTGTCCTCAGTGAGGATAAAAAATAAAAATAAATAAATAAAGTAACTGGAATTTTTCCTAATAGGAATAATCACCACCATTGCTTTATGAGTTCTTACCTTATGTGATAATTACAATAACATAATGATACAGTAACAATATCAATGACTAACATTCATATGGTATTTATTACAGCCCAGGCACAGTTCTGCATGCTTTTCACATTACTTATTTAATCCTCAAAATAAACTTATGAGATAGAAACTATAATTATCCTCATTTTACAAAGATGGAAGCTAAAGTTAAATTGCTTTCTCAAGGTTACACCTACCAGTAAGTGGCAGAGCTGGGATTAGAACCTAGGTGGTGGAGTTCCAGAGCCTGTAGTTTAACAACTCACGACACTTTACTTCCTCTCCAGCAAAGATTAAATGAATAAATGAATGAATGAATGTGGCTTCACCAAAGCAGAATGAAACCACTGCATTCAGATCTGGAAAACCCTGGTCCTTTTGTTTCCCTTCAAAAATAACTTGAAAGGGTACAGTGTTTACCTTGTTACTAAAATCACCTACTTCCCAACACCACCCACACTCACACACATGCCAACGTGGAACATCTGAAGACAGTCCAGTTTCCTAACGTGTCACCTGCACAGCCACTTAATTTATACCAGTTATCTACAAAGTGAGCTGAAGTCTCCCACGTCAGCAACTCCTTCCCTAAAAATATTTAAAAAAAAAAAAAAAAAAAAAAAGGTGACCATTCCTAAAGACAGCACTTACATCAGACTTTCCAAGCTCTTCGTCCTAAAATTTTCATGAGGGTAAACTAAAGACGTCAGAAAAGTATTATCCACCCCCTCCCAGCTGACAAAAGGTTAAGTGTCAGAGTTGGCAGCCAAGACTCTAAAACAGGGAACACTGTACCTGAGAGGTAGAATAACACAGTGGCTAAATAAAGCCTGTCTGTGGTCAAACAGACCTGGATTGGAATTCTAGTTCAGTCACTTACTGTTTTCACAAATGCAAAATATGGCTAACAAAATGTCAGTTTCACAGAATTGTTGTGAATGTGAATAGGACACAATGTGGAATATAAACACTCTGTATGTGTCAGTGCCTAATTTTTATTCTGAAGACTTGACTATTATCCATTTCTGTTTCAGGAGGAGGGCACATAAATTATCCCCACTGACAACGTTCTCATTTCTCTTTTAAAGTCTTCAAAGGAGTTTCTGTACTCAGAGGCAGAAGTGATATACTTGTTATGAGCACTGGCTCAGGGATTTGTAGCCCAGCTACCCCCACTTACTAGGTGTGTGACTCCTGTGTCCCATTTTAGGTTCTTTACCTGTGAAATGGGGATAATAATAATATTATCCATTTCAGAAGGTTACTATGAGGATTAAACCAGCAAATTGTGAAAAATACACAGAACAATACCTGAAATTTAGCAATGTACAATAAATGTTAGTCATTACACTTCTCCCCATAGGTAATATAGTCCAATGTTTTAGAACATAGAGAATAACAAAATTATTTTAGAGCTCTAGAATGTTAGAGCTGGAAGAACTGTTAGGAATAATTTCAAGTCCAACTCTCTTATTAATAAATGGTCCCCAGGGAAAACCACAGCTGGTTACATGGTCTGACCAGAATTAAAACCCAGGTCTCCTGCCCAGCCAGTGTGGCTCAGTGGTTGAGCATCAACCCATGCACCAAGAGGTCGCCAGTTCAATTCCCAGCCAGGGCACATGCCCAGGCTGTGGGCCAAATCCCCAGTGGGGGGCATGCAGGAGGCAGCCAATCGATGTTCTCTCTCATTGATTTTTCTATCTCCCTTTCCCTTCCTCTCTCTCTAAAATCAACTAAAACAAAAAAAACAAAAAAAACAAACAAAAAAAAAAACCACAGGCCTCCTGATTCCTATCCAGTGCTCACACCATACCACTGTACTTCCTCTTCTTAATAAAAACAGTAGAGTCATGTAGTCTCTCCTGTCTGCAAACTACCAGACCATCTTCTAAAAAGAGCTGGAGCTCCTTATACATCTGGGAAGAAATCCTACTCATTATAATTTTTCATGAACAACTGCTTCAGGTAGCACTTTTCTGGGAGATGGGGTGGGTGGACAACAATTTATTTCCCAAGAATCCACACCCAAGAGATACAAAAAATGAAAGTTTGAAATATTATTAATTCCTTTCAGGAACAATTAAATATTCTTTGGGAAGACATTATAATAAATATTAACTAAACACTTTCTAAATTTGTAACATAATATTTGGAGCCTTTTGTTTTCTAATTTAATGATCACAACACAGTCCTTCTGCCTCAAGTTGCCCTCCTATGTGTTGCTCCTAGTTACCTGATGTTCCTTGCTCACAGTGTCAAGTAATTGCCTGCTGACTTTGTCTTGATTAGTCTTCAGACTACCTCCCATTCCATATGCTGTTCTTACAACATGAACTCAACATTCCTCTATGCTGGGAGAGGTGGAGAGGTTAATATCCCTCCCCCTTGAACAGGCCCAGACAGAGTACAGTGGAAGTTATGCTATGTGACTTATAAAGCTAGATGATAAAAATGCTATGCATTTCCACCTTGTTCTTTTGAGGTACTCACTCTTGAAATCCAGCTGTCTTATTGTGAGGTGGTCCATACTAGCCCATGAAGAAAGACCACATGAAGAAGTAGCACCCCTGCTGAGGCCTCAGACATCACAGAACAGAGTAACACACCTTCCCCACTATGCCTTGTGTGAATTCCTGACCCACAGAATCATGAACATAATAAAATGATTTCTTTATGCCACTAATTTTTAGGGTGGTTTATTATACTGAAATGATAACTGGAATAACCACAAGAGCTTCATGTCTAATAAGGAATAAAAATACTGAATATACACCCAGCCTGTGTGGCTCAATGGTTGAGCATTGACCCATTAACCAGTAAGTTGCCAGTTTGATTCCCTGTCAAGGCATATGCCCAGGTTGTGGGCCAAATCCCTAGTGGGGGGCATGCTGGAGGTGGCCAATCAATGTTCTCTCTCATCAATATTTCTCTCTCCCTCTCCTTTTCCCTTCCTCTCTCTCTAAAAATCAATAAAGAAAAAAAAATTTAAAGAAAAAGAAAAAAAATGTTTAAAAATACTGAATACGTGACTCTAAGGAATTGCCTACACCTAACACAGTACCTGGAACAGAGTAAATTATTTATTGATGTCTGAGGTAGTTATTTTGCCCACTTTTGCAGATGAGAAACTAAACTTTGAGAAGTTAAGCAACTTACCTAAGTAGCCCTCTTAGCTAGTTAATGGTAGAATAAATTGAAACTCAGATCAAAACCCACACTCCTAACACTACACTTCTGCCTGCCTTGGCACTTATAATTTTACACTAAATATACAGTAATCTGTTTTTAAATGGGGTTGTAAGTATTTAAAACATTCTGGCCCAGTAGAATTCACCATGCAGTTTCATCCCTGAGATGGAAACCCATATATTACCTTCTCAGAAAAATATTCCCTATCCTTCCTAGTTCAGGTAATGCCAGCTCCCTCATCCTTTCCAGCCTTTCTACTCTATCCCAGTTTCATTTTCTTTCCAGCACTTTTCCCTAGCACTTCTCTCTCTTATTTGTTCATATGTCTACTCTCTGTCTCTCAGAGTTAAATACAAGCTTGTGAGAACAGGAGTGCCCAAGATAGTGCCTGGAATACTGCAAATGATCAAAAATTATTTACTGAATTAAAGAATGACTGTATTCATGCACAGTGAATGTCCACCCAATATTATCACAGGCCAATAAATGAACAAGTAGGAAGAATAAGAGAAAATAGAATTTAAAACAGCAGAACTGCCACAGTCATTCCATACAGTAAGGTCGGTACAAAAAAATTGGAATTGGAGGAGAATCAATGCTACCACTCACCCACTTAGAAAAGCATAAAGCCTGAGTCTGAAGGAAGATGTAGGTAATAGATGGAGTAGGGAGGTCACATCTCCTCCTATCTTTTATTCATAACCACTGTCTCCTCAGGCCTCACAAACCATTCAATTTCTTCAGACACACTGAGGCATAAAAAGGACAATTGTTGGTGGCACCTCTAACATTAGACATTCTGCTCTCTTTTAGCCCTTCCTTTTGTACCAGTCACCTCACTTCCTGGAATGCAGGTGCTGTTCCCCCCAGGACAAGGAGGAGGCAATAACCTAACTCTTCAGGGAAGAGGTAAGTTGGAGAATCTTCAGACTCAGGGCAAGGCTCTCTGTACATGCAGATGCCCAAAGGCCCTATTTCTCCTAGCAGTAAAAGTGACTGTTCCTGAGGATCTACCAAGTGCTAAGCACTATGCTGGGCTCTTAAACATGATTTTTTCTCATTTAAGGGCCATTCCTTACCCCACCCCAAGAAAAACTTCCCCATCAAATCATTCCCTAGATCCGCTACTCCCTATCCTAAGAAATCTTCAAACTCCATGAGAGGTTGGAGAGGATAAAAAGGAATCTAGTGTGACCTAGTAACAGTGGTTCTCAACCTGTGGGTCATGACCCTTTGGGGGTCGAATGACCCTTTCACAGGTGTCGCCTAAGACCATCGGAAAACACACATTTCTGATGGCAATTCATAACAGTAACAAAATTATAGTTATGAAGTAGCAAGGAAAATAATTTTATGGTTGGGGGGTCACCACAACATGAGGAACTGTATTAATGGGTCGCGGCACTAGGAAGGTTGAAAACCACTAAGAGGTAGAATGGGAGGAGGATCCTGTTACTACAAGAAGAGGGTTATACTGGGCTAGGACCCAGGATAAGTAAAGATTAAGATAAGAACATGGTCTGACCATTTCCAAGCCCAGTATGTCCATCAGAAGAGGTGACCAGGAGCAGGAAACTGAAGCCCAGCAAACAGGTGGCCCCGAGACCAGGTCGCAGCTCCATGGTGATAAGTGTACGGGGCCACCGGGCAGAGCAGATGCAGGGATGGAGTCCTAGCAGAAGGTCCAAGCCGTTCCCTAAGTGCGGCTCAATCCAACCCCTCGCGTTCCCAGAATTTTTTTTCCCCTTAACCCTGAAGGAAGTGATGTTAAACGGATGTGGGTGGTGCCTCCGGGGTCCGGATTGTGACCGAGTAAGTTTAAAGGTGCAGATCACGTAGAAGGGTACGGATGTTGTTCTCAAACACCAGTTGCTTTCCCTGTACCCCGCCCGGATTCTGGATGTTCAGTCGGAGGACCTAGAGGGAAAGGTGGGCCGAGTTAGTGAGGGGTGGGGAGGAGGCTTAGAAGAACCGTTGCTGGTCGCGTCTGTCAGCAGACTAGCCCCGCCCCCTAGAACCGCTGCACTTAATATTAACGCAAATTATTGATCGGTGAGGTCAGCCGCTCCAAACAGTGGGCGGGTTGCCCATTGGCCTCTGGTCCCACTTCCTCTGCCGCAAATATAAAAGACTAGACAACCGGATTTAATCCTTACGTTCCTGCTTAGGTCTCAAGGAGCCCTGGCAAACCTGTTATGTGGTACATGTCTCCGTGCCTTGCAAGAATGCCTCTTCTTGCTGGTGAAGAAGCGCTGGACCTTGATTTCCTTGCAACCGCAATTCTTCCACTCAGAGATTATGTAACTGAGGGCAGCTTCGAGAAAACCCGAACTTGGAATCTATTATTGCAAAACTGACTAGCCTTCCAGGGAACCAGTACAGACATCACTGCAGGCATTAAAACTGTAAAGCTTCTTCTGGTTAAATCTATTTGTTTTTCAATTTTGTGGGTTGAGTATTTCTCCAAAATTTTTCCTGTTCTATAACAAGTCAAAATTTCCCGTCTCTCTTCCTAAGTGGAAACTAGCTGAGTACGACAGTGCGTACTTAATGCCTAGTAAAAGACATCTAACAAAGTACACACCCAGACAAAAATACACACTGCCGATTTATTAGGTTCCCTGCATATTGCAGGCACCAACAATGGAACGCTCGGAAGACTGCAAGCTCCAGAATGCAGCGCGGCTACCTGCACCTGACACTTTCCCATTGGCAGGCGCAGAGCAGGCTGGACCCGGTAGTTCGTATATGCTCTTCCCGGATAGGTTGCTCTGGTGAGGGCCGGCTGTGTCACGTGGGCCCGCTCCCGCCGCCACCGCCTCCGTCGTCTTTCTCTGTCTCGACTGAGGTAGCCATCTTGCTCTTGCCGCGTGCTGGTGTTGGAGGACTCTCCCTGCTTCAGGTGAGACCCCCGGCGGTCCCGCCACTCCACGGCCATAGGCCGCTGCGCACGGTCTCCCCCGCGCCCTCTTCTTCCGACACCCGCCAACCGCTCGGGCTGCCACTTCCGCCGTGGCGCGCGAAGTGGGGGCGGAGGCGGCTAGCCTGGCCTGTCGGTTACCGGCGGCGCAGCTGGGGGTCGGCACCTGAGGGAAGGTCCCCAGCACCACCGCCCTCTGTGGGGGCGAGCGGGCCCACGCAGTTGCCACCCACATCCAGCCCCAGGAGGCGGGTGATCCCCCGCCTCTGTCCTGTTACTTTTCATTATTCGCAGCAGTGCTGTGAGCTTTGAGCTATGTACAGCCAGTCTGTTGTCATCTCATTTGATCCTCTCCTACAGATAGGGAAACTGATGTTAGCAGTCCCCTAGTGCCTGGAACCGAATTACGGTACAACACTCTTCACCTCCTAATGGCAGTATTTACCAGTCGGCCTCCCACTCTGAGATGCCTTGCCCATCCTCATAGTCCCATCACAAGGCTTGATGCGTAGTAGGCTGTCAGGAAATTGATAATTGACCAACAGACACAGTGTTACATCGCTAGTGAATGGTGGTTTCAATTTTCTTTCCTAGATTTTTTCACTATACTATAGCTGTTCCCTCGAGATTGGTAACAATAGTTACCAGTTTTTGTGTATCTACTGTGAGCCATACCTTGTACTATTTATAACTTTTAACCATTAAAAACAACAACAAACGTATGAAGTGTGAGGTGTTACCTTTTCTAGTACAGAAGGAACACTGGTTCAGATAAGTAAAATATGAAGCCCTAAGTGGTAGAACCTTGATTTATCTGATTCCAAATCCTGTGCCTCTCTTAGAATAAGCTCACATGATAAAAATAAAAAAAGTTGGGAGTAAAGGTTGAAATTATTTTATCCATGTGTAAACAATGTATGTGAAAGTGCCTACTATAATGCTTGGAACTCAGGCACTCAAATATTTGAGTATAACCTCATTATCAACACCCTTTCTTGAGTTCTGAGGAAAGGGATCTCCTAGGATCCCCAAGGAAGAACTCAGTAATCATATGGCCTTAGAAAAGTCACTTTTCCCTTTTGAGCCTGGAAAGTGTCTTCTCCCTTTTAGGCCTTCATTTGCAAATCTATTAAATTGGGAGGGAGGTGAACTGTTCATAATTTTTAACCTGCTGCTTGCAAGTATTTGAGATGGCCTTACATACAAGACAATAAATTACAGGTTGATTGAGGAATAGGGAAGTAAACCAGGTGATCTTTAAGGTTTAGTCCAGATTCTTTCTAAGCTTGACATCTCTCATAGAGACTCATCCTCTTTCCTACTTGAATCCCATATTCCCCAACCTGCTAATAGAGGACCACCCATCTTCCTCCCCTACTCTCTTGAGCTTTTAACCTCCCTAAAATACTTTTTTTTTTTTCTGAGATACTCCTTGAGAACAAGTTCTCTGTTGTCGTGATTACCTGAAATGGAATCTGTTCTTTCATCTATGCACTGATATAGTTAATTTTGTTGCTTTTGTTTCAAATACATCAGAACTCTATCTTGGCTTCTGTCTCTTCTCTTCCACCTCTTAGGGACTGACACTTGAAAATGCAGGAGAGTCCCCCATGAGGTTTACCCTATGTCTCGTTCTAATATTTTCACTTAGCCCCATTTTTGTCACACACACACACAAAAAGTCCTTAGGCTCTCTTAGTTGACTACATCTTCATGGCCAAATCCTTTGAGAAAAATGAATATTGGTCCTCTTCTCTGGATACTGAGCAGAGATTGGGATTTACTTCAATAGTAAATTTAAGTCTATAGAATGTTGAGATTGGCACACACCAAAGACTTCTGGTTTTGTATTCTAATCACACTTCCTCCTATGAGATTGCTTTTAGTTGCTTGAGCATTGTGATACAGTGCTGAGCAAAGATTTAAGATCATTAATGCTAAATGTTACTTGATTAGGCTGCACAACTGGGAAAATGAAGACTAAATAAATACGGGATTAATGTAAAATAAATGTTATTTGAGAACTGGACTTTACTTGGCCTTAATGCAGAAATATATACAGGTTAGTGCCTAAGTACAGTTTCAGAATATGGAATGTTTAGTACTTATATAACCTTTGATTCTCTTTCATTTCTCAAATGAAGAAAACAATCTTTTTCATCTGAATGATTATTATAAAGAGGTTAAAAATAAAAATAAAGAGGTTAGAGAATTGGCTGAAAAAAGGTTTAATAACAGCCTTGTACTTTATTGCATCTCACACATCTCAGTAGTAATCTGTTGATCCACAGAACAAGTACAGTAAGACTTTCACATTGGTTTTTACTTGTTTATATGGTGTGGAATGTTATGGCCCATTATAAACTTAAGAACTTTTTTCCTTAATACAAATATTACTGACCAGACTGGGATTCTTTATTTTATAGTGTTCTTAGAATTTTCAAAATTAAGTTAGGCCTAAAGAGCTTATATATGAGTCTCTTCACCTCTCCCCACCCCCAAAATTAAGTATTAATGTAACAGAAATATGTTTTTTGTCAAATTGTGCAATGAGGCATTATACCTTGTGTGCAGGCATATCTTGATAAGTGTGACAAACCATCATTGCAAGGTATTGAATGAACCCTGGAAAATGCTGCAGAAGCACTGAATGTCTAAAAATCAGGTTCTCTTTTCCTATTAACCTACCATCTGACCTTGAACAGAGGACACAACAGTCTCATATTTTGACAGCTAGACAGCCTATTGTTGATTTTTTTGTCCAGCTTTTTTTTGGTCTTCTATTTATAATTCACAAGAAATACAGAATGTGATTTGGGAGAAAAAAATTCTACTTAAAGGTTGTGCCAATAACATTTGGTAACAGCTCTCAGCTGTAAAAATATTTGAGGGAAAAATTGGCTTGCCTACAGAGATTTCATAATTGGTTAGGTTTTACTGAATGCCAGAATACTGAATCGTGATTTTAAGGAGGGATCTTCAAATAAGTAACTTTGCATCCCATTCTGTTTTCTGTTTGTCTATTCGACTCCCTCATGGTATTATTTAATTTTGGTTCTTTTAATATCTGGTTTATGAAGCTAGAAAAAGTTATTAATATTTATTAAGGATATAGACTATTAATATGATGGTGGTGGTAATGAATACTGCAAAGTCAATGAACTAGAAGGTACTGTTACATAAACAGTTATTTTATTTTGGTAAAACAGTGACTTTAACAAATCTATTTTTCCCCCCCTAGATTTACCAACAGCATGAATCAAGAAAAGTTAGCCAAACTTCAGGCTCAGGTCCGGATAGGGGGCAAGGTGAGTGTGGCATAAGAAAAACTGATAGGAGAATGTATTATTACCAGATAATATTATTATTATTTTGGATCTGTGGTCATTGAAAATCTAAAATCTTTTTAAAAAATCAAGATCAAACCACATTCCAATTTGAAAATAATGTCTAAATCTAAAATAATTAGAACACTTCTCTCTGTGATGGTGAGATGGAAATAGCCACTTTTGTTTGAATCCTTTTAACATGTGGTAGTTATGTGACATGAACAAGCTACTCAGCCACTTTTACATCTGCAGAAGAGAAATAATCCTATATAAGATGCTCCTAAAAATCAGAGTAATATCTATAAAACACCTAACATGGGCATGGCCGGTATGGCTCAGTGGTTAAGCGTTGACCCATGCACCAAGAGGTCACTGGTTTGATTCCCACTCAGGGCATATGCCCAGGTTGTTGGCCAAATCCCCAGTGGGGGACATGCAATAGGCGGCCCATCAATGTTCTGTCTCATCGATGTTTCCATCTCTCTCTCCCTTCCCCCCTCTCTAAAATCAAATCAATAAAGAAAGGGAAAAAAAAAACACTTAATATGGTGTCTGGCACATAGTAAATACTTAATAAATTATAGCTATTATTATTATCATTATTTTAAAGATTTATTACTGATATTTAGAGGGGGGAGGGGGGAGAGAGAGAAATATCAGTTGGCTGCCTCCTACACACCCTCTACTAGGGATCGAGCCCGCCACCTGGGCATGTGCCCTGATCGGGATTCTAACTGGCAACCTTTTGGTGCATAGGATGATTCCCAACCAAGTCACACTCTCCAGGGCTGATAGCTATTATTATGTTAGACTCACCTGCAGGGCATCCCAAATGTTAAGGTTACCTCATCTTGGTTGAATACTGCTACAGTTTGGTTTACAAGTAGTTTAACTGGAGATACTCAAGCTGACTGTACATTTTGTTCATTGCTAGGTTTTCCTCCCAAATTCCTGCCTATGTGAACATGAGCATTCTTTTTTTTGTTATCCTCACCCGAGGACATTTTTCCATTTTTTGTTTTAGGTAGAGTGGGAGGGAGAGAGAGGAACAGAGAGAGAGAGAGAGAGAGAAACATCGATGTGAAAGGGACACATCAAGTGGCTGCCACCCGCACGACCGACCAGGTCTGGGGACAAACTGCAACCGACGTATGCGCCCTTAGCAGGAACCGAACCCGGGTCTCTCCAGACCGCAGGCCGACGCTCCAACCGCTGAGCCAAACCGGCCAGGGCAACATGAGCATTCTTATTCCATATACTTTGAAGCTTAAGGAAGAGCTGGTTCTGCGCTCCAAAAGTCTTTGATTCCCTTCAGTTCTGGTCCAGGCTCAAGGAGAATATTCTACCCTTATCTCTGTCCAGTACAATCTTTGCAAAAGGAAAAGCAAGAGTAGTTCACATGTGGTAGATAGGACACTATATAGCAGCCCAACTGTCATTTACTTTGATGATAACCACAGATCCTGGGGATGAGGACAGGAGAGGATAAAGGGAAAAAGTCACTAATACTTTCTCCTTTCATAGTGATACAGTTATATGACTTTTGGAGTCATGTTAACGTTCATGTAACCAAAGCAGTCACATTGTAGCATCAAGTGTAATGTACCAAAGCAAAAACTAGGGATATCTAGGAACCATAGAATATACCTAGAAGAGCTTGATAACAGTGCATCACTATTATATATATTTTAAGCTAGGTGGTTGACACATTCATTCATTTCACTAGTCTATTGAACACCTACTATGTGCATAGCACATAGAAGATAAACAGGTTAAGGTTTTCTTCTCTTGACACAGTTCAACTTGGAAGAGAGACATGCTCACAGTTACACTACAGAGTAAAAATGTTGAAGTACAGCCCTGGCTGGTTTGGCTCAGCGGTTAGAGCGTCAGCCTGCAGTCCAGAGAGACCCGGGTTCAGTTCCCGCTAAGGGCATGTACCTCGGTTGCAGTTTGTCCCCAGCCCTGGTTGGGTTATGCGGGTGGTGACCACTTGATGTGTCCCTTTCACATCGATGTTTCTCTCTCTCTCTCTCTCCCTCCCACTCTATCTGAACAAAAATGAAAAAATGTCCTCAGGTGAGGATAAAAAAAGAAGTACAAAGCACTCTTGCTTAGGAGAGACAAGGAAGTCATCACTGAGCTGAGATTTGAAGAATCAATAAAATATCACTAGGTAGACAGGTGATAGGGTAAGTGGATAGGTTGAAAAGAGACTGTCGTTTTCATACAGGCACAAAGGATGCTGAGATAACATGGTGCTTTAATGGGATGGTGTGCTTTAGTTTGGTATAGCTAGAGTTTAGGATATATAATTTGGGGCTGGATTATAGTTTTATATGCCATACTGGGAGCTGAGGATTTTATCCTAGAGTCAAGGGGCAACTATTGAAGGACTTTAAGAAGGAAATAACAACCTGGCCAGTGTGGCTCAGTGGTTGAGCTTTGACCCATGCATCAAGAGGTTGCTGGTTTGATTCCCAGTCAGGGCACATGCCCTGGTTGTGGGCCTAGTCCCCAGTGAGGGGCATGCAGAAGGCAGCCAATCGATACTCTCTCATTGATGTTTCTACTTCTCCTTCTCCTTTCTTCTCTCTCTAAAAACAGAGAAAATAAAATTTAAAAAATAATAGTAATCTGAAGGAGGCGGCCAATGGATGTTCTTTCTCATCAATGTCTCTATCTCATCAATGTCTCTATCTCTCTCTAAAATCAATAAAGAAAAATTATTTTAAAGAAGAAAAATATATTTAGAATTTCAAAGTATCCATTTAGAAATGAGCTTTTTTAATCTTAGTAAATAGTATGCTTTTCAACCTTTTTGCTTAGGCCAGACTTCTAAACATCATTCTAGATTCCTTTTTTTCTCATATCTGATATCCAATCCATCAGCAAGCCTTGTTCGTTCTTCTGGCAGTCTGAGCTCTCCCCATTGCCACTGCCACAATCCTCATCTTTCCTCAGGACTCCTATAGTCACTTCCTGAATGATCTCATTATAGTTCATTTTCCACAGCATCTTTTAAAAATGTAAATCTTCCCTAGCCAGTTTGGCTCAATGGTGGAGTGTTGGCCTGCAGACCAGAGTCTCGGGTTCGATTCTGGTCAAGGGCACGTGCCTGGGTTGTGTTTGGTCCCCGGCCCTGGTCAGGGTCGTGCAGGAGGCAGCCAATCGATGTGTCTCTCTCATGTCCATGTTACTCTCTCTCCCATTCATGTTTCTCTCTTTCCCTCCCTCCCACTCTATCTGAAGATAAAAATGGGAAAAAAGTATCCTCGGGTGAGGATTTAAAAAAATAAATAACATTGTAAATCAGATCAAGTCATTTCCATGCTTAAAACCTTCCAATGGCTTTTTATTGCAATTGGAATAAAATTGAACTGCCTATGGCATTCTAGGCTACATGACCCTTGCCTATCTGTCTAATTTCATTTTCCTCCTCCTTTCCTATTGTTCATTCTGCTCTAGCCATACTGGCCTGCTTTCTCTCTCTGTAGACTTAACAGGTTTACTCTTGTTTCATTCTTCCCTAGATCTTCCATGGGTCTCAGCTCATATGTCTGTCACCTCTTCAGAGAGACCTTCCCTTAACGTTCTAATAAAATAGTGCTTAGTTCCCACCTAGTACTCTTAACACTGTGTTTTCTTAATACCCTTATCCCATTTTAAATTATCTAATTTGTTTATATACTTACTGACTTTACCCTCCTACTGTAGTAGTATATGCTCCTTGAAGTAAGAGCGTAATGTTTTTTATTACTGGATTCTAGGACTCTAGAACACTCACATAGTAGGCATTTGATTCTTAATTATGTCATAATCTTCAAAGTTTCAGAATATCTTTAGACTTTATTGTCAGGGTATGGTAGGTACTATAAAGAAGTATTCCTTATGATGTTTGAAAGTTGTTATAAAGCACACTAAATTGTCCTGAAGTTATAAGCTATTTTTTATTAGAAAACTTTTGAAACATAATGTGTTAAAATGATAAAGGCTGGATGTTGGAAAGAATAAGATCTGGCTAGAACTGACCTTCAAAAATCTGGATTAGGTTGACAAACACAACTCTGAGCATTATTAATCATTACTATTAAGTCAGCAATTTTTTATGTGGGTTTTAGAGTCCTGTGAATAGGAAGACATGATTGCAGTTGCCAGATACAAGGCATGCTAACCCTTCTGTTTGGTTATTTTTCAGGGTACAGCTCGTAGAAAGAAGAAGGTGGTACATAGAACAGCTACAGCTGATGACAAAAAACTTCAGAGTTCTCTAAAAAAACTGGCTGTGAATAATATAGCTGGTATTGAAGAGGTATGATCACTTTGTAAATTGTAAAATTATGTGGACAAATAGCACATTCACAAATAATTATCCACACTTTTCAAATGTAGAGTATCACCTTAGGAGAATCTGATATTGTCACTCAGATGTCTTTGAAGGACTGTAGCTGTTGAATTTGCTTATTGTATAAAATTGGATGATTGTCCAAAATGATTTTAGTAAATAGTTAAGGAATTTATACTTTTCAGACTGAAAGTATTTGCATATATGACAAAATTATGGAACTGCTCTTGAATATTAATGTAAAATAAGATTTTTAAAAAATATCTTTTTACTGATTTTTAGAGAAAGAGGAAGGGAGAGCCGGGGAGAGAGAGAAACATCAATCAGTTGCCTCCTACACACCCCTCACTGGGGATTAAGCCCACAACCTGGGCAGGTGCCCTGACTGGAAATCGAACTGGCATCCTCTTGGTGCATGGGTTTATGCTCAACCACTGAGCTACACCAACCAGGCAGATTTTTTTTTTCTCTAATAATATAGAAATAAAGAAATCCCAAGATTTCTTAAAATACAGTGGACTTTTTTCCCATAAGAGCACCGTTCTGCTCAGTAAGTCTCTCTATTATTACCTCAGCCAAGAAGCTCTAGCAATAGCTTTCCATAGATTAGATTTCTTACTAGTCTTCTTTCAAAAATTATTGGTTAAATATTTTTAAATAATTTTATTATATTTTGATACTACCTCTCTCAAATATGCAGCCAAAGATTAATGTTATTTCAAAAGACACTCAAGAAAAATTATCATAATGTCAATTACTTGTGATGTTACCATCTAGATCCACTTCTACCTAATGATTCCATTTCTGATAGTAACCAAAGTTTAAATTTTCATTGCCATAACTTAGATTTAATTATATCATTACTATGTGTGGTACCACCTTACCAAAGAAAGGGAAAGTACCTGCCCTATAGCCTGTATTATTGAGCACCTCCCATGCAGAATTCATTATTTACCATCATAGATCAAATAAATACCAACACTGTTTCTGAGGACATTACCATTTTTCCTTTTTCAGGTCTTAATGCAGGTGTTATTTCCTCCCAGAAACGTTGTTGGTATCACACTTATACATTTGTGCAATGAAGGGTTAGATGCCTTTCCTTTGTGCCTCCATAATGTCCTGTTTTTACTATTATCATAGTATTTATTAAACTGAATTGTGAATTCCTTTTTGTTTGTACTGCCAATACAATTCTGACTTCTTGAAGAGTCATAGCTCCAGAACATCACACAAAAAATTAATGGTACATAATAGGCATGTACACACTTTTACATGCACCATGTATACGCACATGTATGAATGCTGTCTTCTAACCCTCACAAACTAGTTGTACTTTTACCAAGTAAAGTTCTAATCTTACTTTCTAGGCTGTCAGTATCAGTGATTTTTCTGCCACCCAAAGCTTAAAATTTAAGTCCTCTTCAGAAACTTCAAAAACTGACAGACTGTTTGGACTGAGATAAGTTTCTCTGGTCTTTTATGTATGCATTCGTTTGTTGACTTGGTGTAATAATTATAATCATATATAGATTTCTTTACATGTTACCAAAGACAGAGAAGTCCAAAGCTATCAAAAAGTAAAGGGCAGGGAAGTGTCAGAGACTGTTTTCATATAAAACAAAGTAAATAAGCAGATTTTATAAAGGAATTCTTAGGTGGATTCCAAGAGTAACCCAGAACTAAATTTCTAGAAATGTTTTATGTTCTGTGACATTTGAAAATACTTGGATGTGCTTCTTATTTGGTAATCTAGTTGGATATGGTGACTGTGCTGACACTTTTATTCCCATGATAACATGACTCTATCAACAATAGGAGTGATTCCATTTCTCAGAAACAATTGATTTAGCAGAATTATTTGATGAAAAATGTCACCAAAAATCTGAATCTCTAGTTGCTTCATCGAGTTTTACTATTACATTCAGCTTCTAAACTAGGGTATACTTTTACCTCTATGAAACCCCTATCTTTCTAGGAATAATTAATCACACTTTCTCTGTATTTTTGCTGTCCATAGCTTACATTGCTTTGCTACAGTACATTTATTATTACATCCTCATATTGTGGATTATAATGGTTACTTATTAACCAAGTTCCCTGTTTTTAAAGTTATTGTTGACCCTTACCACAGTTCCTTCTTCCTCCAACTAGAGCCAGTGGGTGCCAGTAGGTGGACAGCTCTAAGTATAGGAGAGTGAAAGGGAAGTACTATGGCCCATTTACCTTATCATTCCATAGCAGCCTTACTTTATCTTTTTTTTTTTTTTATGTTTTTTTTTATCCTCACCCGAGGACATTTTTCCATTTTTCGTTCAGGTAGAGTGGGAGGGAGAGAGAGGAACAGATATAGAGAGAGAAACATCGATGTGAAAGGAATACACCGAGTGGCTGCCACCCGCACGACCTACCAGGGCCGGGGACAAACTGCAACCGAGGTACATGCCCTTAGCGGGAACCGAACCCGGGTCTCTCAGGACCGCAGGCTGACGCTCTAACCGCTGAGTCAAACCGGCCAGGGCATATCTTTTCATTTTAGTTTTTACTACATTTTTATTGTGAGATACACACACACACACACACACACACACACACACACACACAGTTGAGCAAAAGTAGGTTTACAGTTGTGAGTATGCAAAACAGTTTATTCTTGTATTGTTTATTAATTATTATATTGTTTTCCATGCAAACAACTGTAAAACTACTTTTGCCCTACCCTGTATATAATACATATATAATTTTGCCATTTAAACCATTTTAAGTGTACAATTCATTGGCATTAATTACAATCACAATGTTATGTAAGCACCACATTGTTTTTCATTATTCCAAACAGAAACTCTATACCCATTAAGCAATAATTCCCCATGTCCCTCTCCCTCAGCCCCTGATAACCTCTGACCTACTTTCTGTCTCTGTGATTTAACTATTGTAGATATTTCATATATGTGGAATCATGCAATATCCGTCCTTTCGTGTCTGCTTACTTCACTTAGCATAATGTTTTCAAGGTTCATGTGGTACCATGTATAGAACTTCACTCCCTTTATAGATGAATAATACTTCATTGTGTGGATAATATCACATTTTATCTATTCATCTATTGATGAACATCTTTTGTTTTTAAAATTGCTTTCCCCCTTCAATATCAAAGTATACTGTCATTATAGAAAAATTAGGGGTATGTAGAAAGCATGGTAAAGTTACTAACATTCAAACATAATCCCATTACCCAGAAATAACGACTATTATTAGTCTTGTATTTCTTTCCAATTTTGTGTGTGTGTATAATATATATATATATAAAATATATATATATATTTTAATCCTTACTCGAGGATATTTTTCCATTTATCTTCCGACAGAGTAGGAGGGAGGGAGAGAGAAAGAAACATCGACGCAAGAGGAACACATTGACTGGTTGACTCCTGCACAACCCTGACCAAGGCTGGGGTCAAACCACAACCACTATACATGCCCTTGACCAGAATCAAACCCATGACTCATTGGTCCGCTGGCCAACGCTCTAACTGCTGAGCCAAACCGGCCAGGGCTGTATGTATATATGTGTATATATTTTTTGTTATCCTCACCCAAGGACACTTTTCCATTTTTTGTTCAGACAGAGCGAGGGGGAGAGAGAGGGAGAGAGAGAGAGAAACATCGACGTGAAAGGGACACATCGAGTGGCTGCCTCCTTCACAACCCAACCAGGGCCGGGGACAAACTGCAGCCGAGGTACTTTCCCTTAGCGGCAACTGAACCCAGGTCTCTCTGGACCTCAGGCTGACGCTCTAACCACTGACCCAAACCAGCCAAGGCTCTATATATTTTTTCGCATATACATACATATATCTGAGACTAGCTAGATGTACAATTTGGAATCCTTTTATTTTTTCCCAAATAGCATATTATAAAAATTATTTTATATCAATAAAATTTTCTAAATCATCAACCTAGATGTCTGCATATATTCTAATGTGAATATATCATAATTTAACATTTCTTTGTTATACATTGTAATGCTTTGATAATAAAAGAATCAGATGTTGGACTTTTAGGTATATAAATAGCTAGCTACCTCCATCTCTGATTTCCTTCAAATAGATTCTTGGAAATGCAGCTACTGGCTGAAAGAGCGTGAACATTATTAGATATCTTCATTGATGTTGCCAAATAGCTTTTCAGAAGGGGTATGCCATTTTACATTATCTACAGCATTGCTGTAGAGAATTCATCTCATCTGACTCTTGCCACCAGAGCATAAGAGAAAATGGTCTTAGCATATTACATAGTATAATGATAGCTATTTGCTTTAGCTTGTATCAACAAGAATAGATTATATGGGAGACATCTGTAATACTTTCAACAATAAAGATAGATAGATAGATAGATAGATAGATAGATAGATAGATAGATAGATAGATAGAATAAGAATAGGTTATACTTCATACTAGCCTTTAGAAATAAACAGGTGCTGAGCTTAGAAGGATTGTATTAGGAAGATAATGACTTACGGGAGTGTGCTCAAAGCCCATAATCCTCAAAATATGATATCACTTAGACTCACAAAACCCCAGATACTTATGTGCCTTATTCCTAAAATGTCCATTACTTCACCCCATTAAAATATAGGAGGAAGTCAATATAAAATGAATTTTGTGATAAACATTTAAGTGCCACTATAAGAAAGAGTGACAAGAAGACTTGATTTTAAGAAAACTGTCGCCCTGGCCGGTTTGGCTCAGCGGTTAGAGCGTCAGCCTGTGGTCCACAGAGACCCGGGTTCGGTTCCCGCTAAGGGCACGTACCTTGGCTGCAGTTTGTCCCCGGCCCTGGTTGGGTCGTGTGGGTGGCGGCCACTCGATGTGTCCCTTTCACATCGATGTTTCTCTCTCTTCCTCTCTCTCCTTCCTGCTCTATCTAGTAAAAAATGGAAAAATGTCCTCAGGTGAGGATAAAAAAAAAATTAAAAAGACAACTGTCAGTTTTCAGAACTGCAGCTATCTGACCTAGTGGGGCTTGAATACAAAAAAACACACAGAGCAGAAAGTGTTATGGAGTCAAATATAACTTTGTGAGCCTCCTATAGCCATAAAAACTACTGCTGTGTAGGAATAAAACAGGAATCAGATTTACCAGATAGAAGGCTACTGTGATTAATATATGTGCCCTACTCAGAGGCCAGGGAAGGCAGGGACTTTTAAAGTTTTGATAGCAGCATAATAGTGCCACACAGCAGTTGCCAGGAATGACTTAAAATGGCCCTAAATCCTGTAGGGCAGTTGGGCTGATTCTGAAAGGTCAGAACAATAGGAAAAGTCAGGCCAAAGAAGGTCCTGGGCATCTTCATTGGGGGTATTACTGGTGCTATTTCTAAACCTTGAGGTGACCCCTTATTTAGTATTTGGGAGTTGAGGTGTGACAGCATCATGATTTAGAATAAATTATATAGGCAGTGTCCATTCATTCAGCAAATTTGAGTGACTATTATGTGCTGGATACTTGGGGGTGTACTATATCTAGTAAGGCATGGTCTCTGATCTCAAAGATTTCATCTCTAATAAGATTAAAAACTTGCAAACACAATTATACCACAACAATTCTATTTAATTTTTATACCCATGAAGTATAGAAGGTGCATAAACCACCTTAAGTTTAGTAGCGTCTCACCCAAAACTTGGATAAATGGGAATTTACAAGGTGGAAAAGCAGGAAAAGGGTTTTTAAAAAAGTGAAAACTGCATATGTAAATACATTTGGCATGAAAGAACAAAATACTTTCTGGTAGCCCGGCCGGTGTGGCTCTGGTTGAGCATCAACCCATGCATCAAGAGGTCGCTGATTCGATTCCTGGTTAGGGCACGTGCCCAGGTTGTGGGCCCTATCCCCAGTTGGGGGCATGCAGGAGGTGGCCAATCGATGTTATCTCTCATCACTGTTTCTATCTCTCTCTCTCCCCCTCTCCCTTCCTCTCTCTCTCAAAATCAATAAAGAAAAAAAAATTTTTTTTAAATACTTTCTGGTAACTACAAGACACGTCAGTATTGTTAGAGCAAAAAAATAAGAGCAAGGGCATTTGGTGTTTTGGACTTGGGTCTCAAAAATGCCTCCTTCATTGCTCAAGTAGCATCCTTTACTTTCAACTACCTGTTAAGTAGAAAAAAAACATTTTGACATAAAGGAGCTATTTGGTTGAAAAGGGTATAATAGCTAGTTTAATAGTCTTTGTTGACTTTTCTGTTCTTTGTTCTTATACTATATATAGATTGTATGACTTATTTAGACCAAACATCAGTAAAATCACTGGAAAAAGTAAATTCTCCATATAAAATACATACAATTCGCTTTGTGAACTTAACAAGTTCCTTAGCCCTTCTTTTACCTCTAAAAGGGTAGGGGAGGTATCTAACTGATCAGTCCAACAGTTCATCCTTTGATAGTTTCTAATAGCTTGTGTCTAGGAGCCTTATATAACCATGTTATTTTTCCGTACAGAGGAAGGAATGTTAGAAATAAAACAGTCTGGCCTTTTTAACTTCGAGTATTTTATTCTTCTAAAATTAACTAAACTCTCCACCTCTTTCTGGACCTTTTTATTCAGGAAGCTACATTTTTTATACAACCCCATTTGAAACAACCATTAATAAATTTATTTCCATATCAGTCTGAGAATGGAATTCATCTTACTTTTCACATTAAACTCAGACAAGATATTTCAGACTACAAAGACCTACATAAGGATGTAAAATAGGACTTAGCATTTAGCCCTGGGGAAAAAAGATTGAACAGAAGGGAAACTTACGAATTTGTTTATTCTTTTTGGCCCCAGGTTAGCCTCTTATTTTGTAGCCAGGAAGATATATATATATTATCCATATATGTATGCTGTTTTCCTTTTGCATTCTCCATTGAGCCTATATTCTGAGATACATAATTCTCCAGCAAGCTTTCATGGGGCCACAGAATTGAATTTTTATAGGCAAATAAACATTTTAAGAATGTGAATGACATCATAAGAAGGAAACTAAACAGAAAGTTAGGAAACCCAAGTTCAAGTTCTGGGTTTGCACATAACCAGCTATTTGTCCTTGGGTATATTGCTTCACCAACAACTCTTGTCTTTAGTATTCATTTCTTTAACAACAGATTAGAACTAGAAGTTCAACAAATATATGGCCTGACTTTTTTGGGGAAAATATTGATTTCAAATCTTCCATAATTTTAATGTCTGTAAATTTTTAAAATCTCAAATTCTAATGTTTGAGGCTCTCTTCATACCTGGAAGTATTGAAATAAGTTCTTTATTAAATTATGTGATTTGGTCTTGATTTGGAAAATAAAGCCCTACCATATCTTTATTCTTTCCCCATACTAAAATTATGTGATTCTAGAATAGGTCCAGAGCAACATCTTATTTCATATCCACTGTGCCACTTCTTCTCAAGACATTTCTCTTGCAGATTTTCAGCCACTTTAACATTAAACTTTTCTAACTAAACTATACTTATCTTTAGAAATATATATATATTTTTCTAAAGTTAATATAAACTATTTTTAACTCAAGATGATATTTGTTCAGAACAGCTGGACTGAATGCTTACTGTGTGTAATATATATAATAGAACCTTAGGCACAATACTGAGAGAGGGAAGGGTACAGAATTGAAATAGTGATTTTTATCAGAAAAAAAATTGGAAAGTTATTTGTGGGATTAAGTTACAGTTTTCCAGGGAATTTGCCTTTATTTTCTCTGTGTTCCAGGTCTTGCCTGAAATTTAGACGCCCCTTTCTTCCCCTTCTATTTTGGTGCTATCAGTGGTGGTGATCACCTCTGAGGAAGAAAATCTCACTTCCACTGACCATGGAGAACACTCAGCATCTCTGCTTGATTGTGACAAGGGCAGTTTTTGGATGGATCATGAAATGCTTCTAAAGAAGCCAAGAGTTAACTCTCCTAACCTTTTTATATAATAAGCATGTTACCACTAAGGTAACTTAACCAGTGGAGCCAGCTACATAGTGGAATCACATAATTTACACATTTAACATATGCAAATTCAATTCTACTAAAACAAAGTGCATGAGTGAGAGAAAAATAACATTTTAAATAGCACATGCTTGCCCTGGCTGGTTTTACTCAGTGGTTGGAGCATTAGCCTGCATACCAAAGAGTCTTGGGTTCAATTCCCGGTCAAGGGCAAATACCTGGGTTGCAAGTTCAATCCCCGGCCCTGGTCAGGGTCCTGTGGGAGGCAACCAGTCAATGTGTTTTTCTCACATCGATGTTTCTCTCTTTCTCTCTCCCCCACTCCTTTCCATTCTATCTAAACATTAATGGAAAAATATCCTTGGTTGAGGATTAACAAAAAAATAATTTAAATTGCACATGCTCAACCTTCCTTGTCAATAAGTCCCAGGTTGTGGATTAAATCAAATCTGAAACAATTCATATTGGTGAAAACTATAGAAAGAATGTGAGGATGGTTTTAAAGGTTTTCCAGTAATTGATAAAGCATATTTAGGTGGCCAGGCAAGTGGGTGGGAGAGCTTCTTTTACATTTACAAGAGTTATTGAAGGTTGATGAGACGCAACATTTAAGAACTGGAGCAACTGCCCTAGCCAGTTTGGCTCAGCAGTTGGAGTGTCAGCCCATGGACCAGAGAGTCTCAGGTTCAGTTCCTGCTAGGGGCACGTACCTCGGTTGCAATTTGTCCCCGCCCCAGTTGGGGTTGTATGGGTGGGAGCCACTCGATGTGTCTCACATCAGTATTTCTCTCTTTCTCATCCTCCCTCTCTCCCTCCCGGTCTATCTGAATATAAAAATGTAAAAAAGTGTCCTTGGGTGAGGATAAAAAAAAGAATTGGAGGAACTGATAAAAATCCTCTACTGAGAATGACATGATGAGAACAAGTTGAAATTTTTGTAAATTTACTAAGTTTTCAAAGGAGTAAAACACCTGATTGATTAAATTTCTGAGTGTTCTTTATGGATTTTCAGTGCTTATTTTTACCATACACTATTACCCCATTACAACCTGTTCCCTAAGTAGGATGCTACCAAATAGTATCTCTACCAATTTAGTTTGCTAGTGTAAATTGAGTGAAATAATGGCTACTTCATTAAGAAGCTAGTTCTTGGCTGATTATTTTTTTAAATGAGGGCATGAAGTTCTTTCTCATAGTAGAAATATTTGAATTTAAAATCTAGATTCTTTGACCATCATAGTAATTTGTGCCATCTACACCATTTTACTACCTTGGGAATGCATAACTACCAACTTAAAAAAAAAATAGTTGGCTAAATTGTTTTTTAAAAAGATACTGTTTTAGTTGTACCTATTTTGTGAAGTACATTTTTCTTTCATGGTCATACAGGTAAACATGATTAAAGATGATGGAACAGTTATTCATTTCAACAATCCCAAAGTCCAAGCTTCCCTTTCTGCTAACACCTTTGCAATTACTGGTCATGCAGAAGCTAAACCAATCACAGAAATGCTTCCTGGAATATTGAGTCAGCTTGGTGCTGACAGCTTAACAAGTCTTAGGAAGTTAGCTGAACAGTTCCCTCGGCAAGGTAGGTATTTCAATTTAGTACCTCTTTTCCTCCCCTCCTTAATTGAAGAACCTAATGATTTTAAAAGGTGTCCCTTTTAAGGATTTGCCTGTATATTGCTTTTATAATATTACTTGTATGCTTCATAAATTTTTTAGTTTGTTTCTGTAATAATTATGTAATATGGCATAGGGAATATTTGGATACATTTTGATAGAAATATAGAGTTGAAAGTAATTACCTAAAAGGTAAGTGCCAGGATCTGCAGGCCACATTTTATAAACAGTTAGTTTGATACTCGCTTCTAATTAATGGCATCAAGAACATAAGCCAGCCTCAGCTGTTTGGAATGGTGCTGGACACTCTAAGAAGTGCTTGAACTGACAGTCAGTGGGCCCTCAAGGCCTTCTAACTCCTGCTGACCAGCCTTTCCTTACCCTTGTGGCAGCTATTCAGGACTGGAGTCAAGGCCAATTCTGGGATAGGAAGTAGAGGTTTCTGCACTTCCCATCTCCTCACAGGGGTGTACAGTCTTAGAAAAAGTGACATTTCCACAAGATCCTCGTCTACCACCCACTCTTACATCATACTTTCCTCTCTATTACTTTTAGCTGGAGATTTCTGTGGATAAGTAAATGCTGTTTACTAATTCATGATGAATGGAGCCTTATTTAGGCCCCAAGCAGACTGGCTTAATAGGAGTTATGCTGCAGAAAGAATGACCTAGCAGAGTTATAACATTATATATTGGCCTGGAAATTTATTGGACAGTTGTATAACACTTATGAAACCCATGGACATAGCTTTTAGCACCCACACACGGATAGTTTTTTCTTTTAAATTGTGGTAAAATATACATAACATAAAATTTACCATGTTAACCATTTTAAGTGTACAGTTCAGTGGTATTCAATACATTGACATTGTTGTACATGACTTACAGTTTTAAGTCTTTTGTATTTAAAAGTAGAGCCACGCCCTGGCTGGTTTTGCTCAGCTGTTAGAGCATTGGCCTGCAGACCAGAGAGTCCCGGGTTCAGTTCCTGCTAAGGGCATGTACCTCAGTTGCAGTTGGTCCCCAGCGCGGTTGGGGTCATGTGGGTCGCAACCACTCAATGTGTCTCTCTCACATCAATGTTTCTCTCTCTCTTCCCCCTCTCCCTCCCGCTCTATCTGAAGATAAATGCAAAAAAAAGGTCCTTGGATGAGGATTTTAAAAAAAAGTAGAGCCATGCTCAGTGGTTGAGCATCAACCCATGCATCAAGGGGTCACGAGTTCGATTCTTGGTCAAGGCACATGCCTAGGTTGTGGGCCCGATCCCCAGTGGGAGGCATGCAGGAGGTAGCCCATTGATGTTCTCTCTCATCGATGTTTCTATCTCTCCTTACTTCTCCCTTCCTCTCTTCTCTAAAATCAATAAAGAAAATGTTTTTTAAAAAATAAAATAAAAGAACAGCCTTGGTTCCTTTTCCCCTACCACCCTCCCCTTCATTTGACAAAGTAGATTTTCCAGAACACCTGTGTTTAACTGGTGTAGTATATTTAGAGTACAAGTCTTAGCTCCAAATCGGTGATGATGTGTTGTGACAAGGAGAGTTACGTTGGGACCTAACTGCTCACAAGTCACTGTATGGTTACAGTTCTACATTCCAAGAACTAGAACTCAAGCTGATGTCATCACCATGGCTTATCAAAACCAGCACCAATTTTAGATATATTTACTTATATGTTGAGGAATGGAGTATGTAGGTGGCCAGACAGAGGGGAAAATGAGTTCTAAATACTGAACACTTTATTAAACTATGATAATTAACATAACTTTAAAGGCAACAGAGTTTCTGAATTTTTCACAACTGTCATTTGAGTCCCACGTCCCTAAGTTTGCTCTATCACACAATATTCTGAGGGGAAAATGCAATTAAGTTTAAGTTATATGAATAAAATTTTTATAGTTAAAAAAACAACAACATAGCCCTGGCCAGTATGGCTCAGTTGGTTGGGCATCATCCCACCCACTTAAAGGTTGCTGGTTCAATTCCCAGTCAGGGCATATGTCCGGGTTGCAGGCTTAATCCCCTCTTAAGAGGTATGCAGGAGGCAGCCGATCGATGTTTTTTTCTCTCTCTCAAAATCAGTTTTTAAAAATATCTTACCCTGGCTGGGTTGGGTCAGCGGTTAGAGCGTTGGCCCGTGGACCAGAGAGTCCCGGATTTGGTTCCCGCTAAGGGCGCGTACTTTGGTTGCAGTTTGTCCCCAGCCCTGGTTGGGGTTGTGTGGTGGCAGCCAATCGATGTGTCTCTCACATCGATGTGTCTCTCTCTCTTCCCCCCTCTCTCCCTCTTGCTCTATCTGAAAATAGATGCAAAAGTGTCCTCAGGTGAGGATTATATATATATATATATATCTTAAGTCCTGGACAGTTTGGCTCAGCAGTTGAAGCATCCACCCTTGGATCAAAGGGTCTCAGCTTCGATTCCCAGTCAAGGTCACATACCTTTGTTGCAGGTTTGATCTCCAGCCCTGGTTGGGGTCGTGTGGGAGGCAACCAATTGATGTGTCTCTCTCACATCAATGTTTCTCACTCTCCCCCTCCCTCCCTTCCACTCTCTCTAAAAATCAGTGAGGAAAAAAGATCCTCTGGTGAAGATTAACAAATAAAAAATGAAATATAAAATAATCTTTAAAAAAAATAATTTAAGGAAAACATAACAACATAGTGTTTTCACAGAACCATATTTTTGTTTAATATTATTGATTGTACTTTAGATGTAGCAACCATACGTCCTGATTTTCCAAGATAGTTCTGTTTTCAAATGTCTTACCACTCTTAAAAATCAAAGAGTCTCTTATTTCAGTGCTCATACTACATAGATACTTTCTTATACCAAAAGAGATTTTAAAAATCTTGAATATTAAATTTTTATTTTGAGAATATGGAATTTGGGGAATAAATTAACTATATCTTTTTATTCAAACTAATCTGGATTACTCCATTTTGCATATGTTTTACTTCAATGCCCGTTGAAATTGCCAGCTGTATTTAGTGTATATCTAATGAAGTTAAAGTTTTACTGATTTTAGTATTAAATAAAAAATGTGGCATTAGATTAGACAGTATTTAGCTTTTTCTGAACTATATAAGATATAGATAGGAAAAAAGAAGAAAGTGTCTGTAGGTGTCTTTGTTCTCAATAATTAATTTTAAAATGAACTTCTTGCAGTTTTGGATAGCAAAGCACCAAAACCAGAAGACATTGATGAGGAAGATGATGATGTTCCCGGTAAGCGACAGTTTATTTATTTGTTTATTTTTTTAATGTATCTTCATTGTTGAAAGTATTACAGATGTCCCTCCTTTTTTCCCCCATTGACACCCTCCTCCCTGCTCCCGCCCCCTACCCTGCCTTCACCACACTGTTGTCTGTGTCCCTTGGTTATGCATATATGCATATCAGTTCTTTGGTTTATCTTTTCCCTCCCCCCGCAACCTTTTCCCTCTGAGGTTTGTCAGTCTCTTCCCTACTTCCATGTCTCTGGATCTATTTTGTTTGTCAGCTTATTTAGTTCATTATATTCCTCAAACAAGTGAGTTCATGTGATACTTGTCTGAAACACCAATCAGAAAGAATTTATGCATTCCTGTGTTCATAGCATCCCTATTTACAATAGCTAAGATGGGAAACAGCCCAAGTGTCCATCAGTAGACAAATGGATAAAAAGGCTATGGTACATTTACACAATGGAATACTAGGCAACTATTAGAAAGAAAGACCTCTTTCTTACCTTTTGAGATGACATGGAGGGACCTGGAGAGTATTGTGCTAAGTGAAATAAGCCAGTCATGGAAAGACAAGTATCACGTGATCTCACTTATTTGTGGAATATAATGAACAAAATAAGCTGACAAACAATTCTTCAGTTGTAAGATTTTTAACATCCTATTGATCCCATTTAATTCACTGCATAATGACTTACGGTTTTTTGTTCATAGTGAGCTCATGAATTTAAATTGATTTACAATGATGTGGATATGATCTAATGAAAAAGAATAAAAACCCTCCCATTTAGAACTTAAATCAGAAGTTATCACACAAAGCTTTGCTGCCTGCATATGAATTTGAAATCACTGTGATTATACATTTGCATAGTTATTGTTATAGCATTTCTGTGGAAATTATGATTGACATATGAAAATACTGTTCACCTTAGTATGTACAGACAAAAAAAGACTAATATTTCCCTAGGGTTACTGTTTAAGCAGATAAATCAAACATTAGTGAAATGCCACCAATTCATTTCTGCCCCTTGTCCTATATATTTTCATGCTAATTCCAGTAGCAACAATTTTTTTTTATTGGAGTTAGGAGTTAGGAATTTTATTTACCTCTTTTTTTTTTTTTTGTATCTTTAACTCATTTACTTTTTTTTTTTTTTCAGATCTTGTAGAAAATTTTGATGAGGCATCAAAGAATGAAGCTAACTAAAATCTTTTCTGGTTTTTGGAAGCTGGCATGGACTAGATTTAACAAATCAGCTATGTGGTTCCAAAGTTTTACAGACACGGAGAACATCAACTGTTACTAGTTCCGTAATATAAATATTTTGTATATTAATAATGCTGTTTATTCAGCATTTTTTGGTCATTTGATTTTGCATTTTGCACTTCCTCCCAGGATCTATTCTTTTGGTCAAAATACGAAGTATTGGTGCAGTTTGAGGGTGTTTTGATTTTTGATTCTTTTTTTTGTTTGTTTGGGGTATTTTCGGTGTGTGTATGTTTTATGTATGCGTGTGGGTATGTGTGTATACAGTGGAGAGCAAATTGGAAAACAGTTCTATTTATCTTTCTCCTTTCCCCAGTAGAAATAAAACAAATCTTTACATTTGTTACTTTTTATTTTTTTTTCTAATAATGCACAGAATTAATGAAAAGTGAGTATATTGGATTTCAAATCTGAGGAGATTTTTATCCTTGGAGGTTTGGTTTTCATTTGCTTGGTTATATATTTTTCATACATTTCTGTGGGTTTAAAATGTCGAGATATTTTCACCAGCTTCCTGCTGGTGTAAGGGTAGCATATCTTTGGTGCAGTTGCCTTAGATTCACTTACTTGGTCAGACCCAGAACTTTCGTCCTAAATTTCTTTTTTTTTTTTCTCTCTCCTTTTGGTCTCCAAGTGGCCTGGTCAGCCATTGGTAATGCTCTTCCTCATCTTCCACCTAGCCTCAGAAGGATGTTCTCCATATAGAGTAAAGTGAGTGCCTAATCCCTCTTTTTAAAGACTCTGTTCCTTTATCTTGAGGAATAACAGGTCCATCTTCAACTTTTTATTTCCCCCTTGCTTTTACAGTTTGGTAGATTTCAAACTTGAATAGCTAGCATGTGCTTGCTAATATGCCAGCCTTATTCTGTATCCTAGTTGTTCTTAATAGCAGGTGCAAAAATGCCTCTTTTTTTTAGCAAGGTTGAAATTGGGAATGTCCTTTTGAATCAGAAAAGAATAGGCCATAGACCATAGACTCATTCCCCAGCACAAAGGGCATTCTATGAAGTGTTACTGGCCTGAGGAGGATTTCTTCAACCACTCTCCTACTCTGGCCTTGAACCTACCTCTAGATTGGATCTTACTATTATAGCTGCTTACAGCATCCTCCTGCATGCTTACTAGAATAATGCTTTGGGAAGAACACTGGTAAAACACAGTATTTATTTTTCACCTCCTTTCAGAGGACTTGGAGGTAAGTTGCATTCATTCATTCAAGTTTCCCTCTTGCTGTCTAATGATAAAAAGCTTGTGTTTTGCTATATCAGCATTTGTTATAGCTAATATTTAATACGATTTAGAAAATCTATCATTTCCTAGTCCATCATCAAACGAAGTATGGCTTAACCTCGCAGCATATTAACTTCATTTCCAGCTAGATATCTTTATTTGATATCTAAAGTACAAGACCAACAACATATCAAGAGATCTATAAACATGAAGGCAAAGCTCTTGTGTTTTGTCATCCAGACACCTCAATTTATTTTATAAATTTGTTCGTTTTCCTGTTATGTTTTATATAATATATGGACTTAACTACAAAATAAAATAACAGTAATAAAATAACAGAGGGTTATTTCCTCTTGTGCTTCTCTTATTGTCTGCAGAATTTCCTTCTTTTGTATTTCCTCTCTACTCCCCACCCCCAAATGAAATTTAGCCCAGTCATTATTTGAAATAATGTTTCATCTATTGTTACTCTAAATGGTCTACATAGTCCAGAATTCTGTTCCTCTGACTGTCCCCAAGGGACACATTGTGGGGCAGAGAGGGTTAAGGTGGGCATCCAGTAGTTAGGGACATGTAAGAGATGAATAGTATAGCAAAGGGAAAAGAGAATAATCATCTAGAAGGCAAGAGTCTGGACTCTGGCAATAACTATGTGACTCTGGGCAGGTCACCTAATTACTCTGAAATTCATCATTAGTCAAATGAGATGTTTCTAAATCTTAATCATTCTTTCACTCCAGCAGTCCTGTGAATCTCATTTCTGTAAATTCTCAAGGAGGTGATTTTATCTTCAGAGATATGTTTTTATCAATATCCATGAAGTCTTTCTGTGATACATTCTTCTTTCTCTTTTTCCCTTTTGATCACATTTTAACTACTCATCCAGAGGAATTCTGGTCAATATTTCCTTTTATCCTGTTAACAACTCCTAACGGCTGGCCTTGTGTTTGCAATGGCCCAATGTTCTGTTCTTAAAAGTATTTTCATACCTTCTGCTTTCCTGGACAAAGTATATTGAGATCCTCATTCAATCCAAAGAAATGTTCCTGCCTAGGCATAGGTAAGAGTATAGATGAAACTTTTGTAAATTATAGTGTACTTGCCATAAATAAGAATTACATAGTTGTAATTTTTTTTTTCTTATCTGAGGACATTTTTGCATAGAGCGAGAGGAAGAGAGAGAGCAACATCAGTGTGAGAGGGACACATCGACTGGTTGCCACCCACACGACCCCAACTGGGGCAGGGACAAACTGCAACCAAGGTACGTGCCCTTAACGGGAACCGAACCCAGTTCTCTGGACCACGGGCCAACATTCTAACCACTGAGCCAAACCAGCCAGGGCAGAATTACATAGTTTAAAAAATAATAATATAAAGTAGTTACTAAATATGTACTTTTTACCAAGGTTATGTATTTATTGCCAAGATAACTGTAGAAGATTTTCTGGGGAAATTCACCTGAAATTTTTAGGATAAATCAAGAAATGTCTGTCTGCAGGGGAAAAAAAAGAAATCCTTTGTGTTTAGTGCTTACAGTTTTTGTAAAGCTTCTCATTTATCTATTTTCAGGAAGCTCAAAGTAAATAGTTGGGACCTTATATTTGTTTTACCCTTGTTTTTCCTATTATGCTGTGGTTTAAGAATACATCAAGCACCTTGATTTGTTAAATAACTAGATTTATGGGATTACATTAAATTAATTTTAATAAGCCTACCAGGTTCTTGTGGAAACCCATACTGGGATGTGTTTGATTTGTTTCTTTAATTTTGTGTTTGTCCCCTAAGTGTGCTATATATCCATAAATAAAATGTCATGATAAGCTATTGCATGGTACAGTAGGAAATGCAGTGTTTAGATAGAGATCAGTACTATTATACACCATGCTGTAACCTTTCCAACAGGATTGCTGCAATGCACAACCCTAAAGCCACCTTCATATTTGTTGTGTTCCAGGCAGTGTCGTGTTCATAGAATACAGTATTAATAGTGCTCCTGAAATAGTGCAACAATGGCCTTGCTCTCTCAGCCTGTTTTCTCCTCTAAAACGATGCCTGCATTAAACAGAGTTCCTTAGAACCTGCATTGCTCTGCTGCATAGAGCTTGCCTGGATTATTGTACTCCCCCCCCCCCCCTTACTGATCTTGCTTATGTATGACTCACTCCCTTCAATCCTTCCTCTACACAGGAACCAAACTATCCAAATTTCTTATCTGAGCATGTTGTACCCAGCCAAGGCAATGAGGCAGGCCACCAATGATGCACACGGCTTGCGGTACGTGATCCCTGCAACACAGACCCAAAGGAGCTGGGTTAACCTGTGCTAACCAGTGGTCAGCAACCCTCTGAGTCCAGATCCAATGTGTTCTCCTATCATAGCCCAGAGACTTGGTGGTATCATGGAGGTGCTTCCAGTTGTATTGCTGAGCCCCACAAAATATACAAGATACATGATAAGAATACAGTCATTTCACTACTTTTGACAGAATTGTTAGAAAAGCTTTTTTTAAATATAGAATAGTGTTATTGATTTTTAGAGGGAAGAAGGAGCCCTGGCCGGTTTGGCTCAGCGGTTAGAGTGTCCGCCTGCGGTCCGGAGAGACCCGGGTTCGGTTCCCGCTAAGGGCATGTACCTCAGTTGCAATTTGTCCCCGGCCCTGGTTGGTCGTGCGGGTGGCAGCCACTCGATGTGTCCCTTTCACATCGATGTTTCCCTCTCTCTCTGTCTCTCTCACTCCCACTCTGTCTGTACAAAATAAAAAATAAAAAAAAATAGAGGGAAGAAGGAATAGGGAGAGAGTAACATTGATGTGAGTGCAACATTGATCAGCTGCCTCCTGCACGCCCCCCACCAGGGATGGAGACCACAACCCTGACATGTGCCCAGACTGAAAATTGAACCGGGCGAGGGACGACACCTAACCAACTGAGCTACACTGGCCATGGCCTAAAAGCTATTTGAGATGCAATACCAATAAATAAAAGCTGTCAAAAGTTTTTTAGAAAGTACCATTCTGTTTCAAACTTCTGTTCCTTTGTGCATATTTATATAATAGTACAATATTAAGGTTATTTGATTTATTAATACATTTCCCATCTAGATCACGGGTACCTTGATAGTAGATGGCATATCATACATACATCTTTTATCCCCAACATCTAGCATAGTGCCCAACATGTAGTCTACTTATGATCATAATAACTAACACTTACTGAAATCTACTGCAAAGAGTTATCTCATTTAACTTTCAAACAGTCCAGTGGGGCAAATATTATAATCTTTTCGTTTTTTCTTTATTGATGTTATTTAGAGAGAGAGGAAGGGAGAGAGAGAGAACATGGATTGGCCGCTTCCTGCATGCCCCCCACTGGGGATTTGGCCCACAACCTGGGCATGTGCCCTGACTGGGAATTGAACCAGTGATCATTTGGTACATGAGTTGTCACTCAACCACTGAGCCACACCTGCCAGGCTATAATCCTATTTTTAAAAAGGAACAAAGAATGGTTTAAGAAGTTGCCAAAGGTCACACAACTAATTGGTGGGAGAACCAGGATTCTAATCTAGATCTATTATAATCCACAATCTAAATATCACCACATACCACTCAACAAATATTTATTGAAATGAAAATTATGTGTATGTGGCCTCTATCTAGACAGATATACTCATCAAATGTCAATCAATATTAACCTGAAAGTCAAACCTATCTTAAGGATTATTCAGAAAATAAGTTTGAGGTGTTTTTTAAAGTAGGATTTGTAATTTTTTATATATTCAGACTCTTTGATGGCAGTATTTGGGCAAAAATTCTTAGGTTACATATGTTGATCTCCTTGACACCAGCATTTCTTTTCAAAAATTTGCCACCCTTTAGGCACACCTTGTCAAAAATATTATATAAATGAGATCAAGGTGGTGATAAATTTATCCTGCAGCCACATTTTTTCTGTGTTTCAAAATCAAATGAGTTGGCTGGCTAGTGTGACTCAGTGGTTGAGTATCGACCAATGCACCAAGAGGTCGCTGGTTCAATTCCCAGTCAGGGCACATGCCCAAGTTGTGGGCCAAACCGCCAGTGGGGGTCATGCAGGAGGCAGCCAGTCGATGTTCTCTCTCATCGATGTTCCTATCTCTCCCTCTCCCTTTCTCTCTCTCTAAAAATCAAGAAAAAAAATTTTTTTAAAGAAAAAAGTGCAGTCATTAAAAAAAAAAAAAAAAAGCAAATGGGTCACCCTGGCCAGTTGGAGCATCGCCAGCAAACCAAGGAGTCCCGGGTTTGATTCTGGCCAAGGGCATGTACCTCGGTTGTGGTTCGTCCCTGGCCCTGGTCAGGATCATGTGGGAGGCAACCAGTCAGTGTGTCTCTCTCACGTCAATGTTTCTCTCTCTCTCCCTCCCTCCCACTCTATCTGAAGATAAGTGAGAAAATATCCTTGGGTGAGGATTAAAAACGAAATAAAAATAAAATGGGTCTGCAAAAATGTTAGACTAAATGAATTCAGCAACATTGCAGAATACAAAACCAATACAAAAATCAATTGCATTTCTCTACACCAACAATGAACAATCCTAAAAGAAAATTAAGAAAACAATTCCACTTACAATAGTATCAAAAAGAATAAAATACTTAGAAAAAAACAACCAAAAAGGCAAAAGACCTGTACACTGAAAACTAGAAAACATTGCCAAAAAAATTAAAATACAAATAGACGTTTTATGTTCGTGGAATGAAAGAAAATGTTAAAATGTAAATACTACACAAAATGATCTACGGATTTAATGCAATCTCTTTCAAAACCCTGAAAAAGTCCGGCCGGTGTGGCTCAGTGGTTGAGCATTGACCCACGCATCAAGAGGTCGCCGGTTCGATTCCCCAAAAGGACACATGCCCAGATTGTGGGCCTGACCCCCAGTGAAGGGTATGCAGGAGGCAGCCAATGGA